CTCTCTTCCCCCTTTCTCATTTATTACCCTCCCTCCTCTCTCACCCATCTTCAATTTCTTTTCCCTCTCACGCATCCGCCTTCGTTTTCATCCGTTTCTCTCTCTTCTTCCCTCGTTCTCCTTTCTATATTTTATTTTTCCTCTCTCTCCACCCGTCTTAACTGCCCTTTCTCACCCTCCCTCTTCTTACCTCTCACTCACCTGCCCTCTCTCCCTCATCTACCAATCCTCTACCCTTCGCCTCATGCAGCCTCACTCTCGCTCTACCCAATCTATCCACCCATCTCTCCCTCCCATTCCTCACTCTCTCTCGTCCACACTCCCACTCTTCCTCCCCTCCCCCAGTTACACTCTTTTCCTCCCCTCATATTCCCCTCACCCCCACCACCCCCCACCCCACTCCCTCAAGCACCTCTGCCTGCTGATACGGGTGAATTTTCCAGCTGTTGGAGGCAGTGATTAGACCTCCCGAGGGTGGTGGTGGAGGTGGTGGTGATGGAGGTGTTGTTGGTAGTAGTTGTGGTGGGGATGATAGTGGTGGTGTTGGTGGTGGTAGTGGTGTTGGTGGCTGTTAAGGTAGTGGTAGTGATGTTAGTGGGAATGATGGTAGTGGTGGGTAGTTGTAGTAGTATTGGTAAATGTTAGATCGTAGTGGTACTGATGGTTAGCTGTGGTAGTTGTGGTGGGGGTGGTACCAGTAACAGTAGTAATAGTGGAAGTGGTCACCTCCAATCCTCTCCTCTCACCTGTTGGCTAGCGGGTACATGGTGAATTAAGCAAGTGGTAGGGGAGGTCAAGTAATATATTAGCTAAGACGTAACATACCTTTTAAGTGACTGGAAAAAGAGATTGGCTATTCAATATGTATAATCCTCTCTCTCTCTCTCTCTCTCTCAGGAGGAAAATAAATACCCACAAGCGTAGGATTAGGTTACAAGAGATGTTAAGATGTTGATTTAAGTCAGAGAGAAACAGAGCCCCCCCTACACACATACACGTGAAAAGCCTCCCTCCCAAACCGTAGACATTAAGCCCGGCAGACGTAAGGCCACGGGTCAACAAACAGACTGTACGTGTGGAGGTCAGAGTCATCAGCTGACAAACCTGGCGGATTACAGCTCCCGCATCCTCTCCTGCCAGCCACACGATCTTCTTGTACTGTTAAAGACCCACCACACGAAACAGACGCCTCCACGCTATAGGTGAGTGAGTGAGCTAGTCAGTCAGTCGTACCTACACCACCTAGCAGTACACGTTAAGAAGCTTGTGTTGTTGGGAGGGGGAGAAGGTTGGGGGAGGTTTGTCTGTGTGTGGGGGGAAGATTAGGAAAGGTTTGTTTGTGTGAAAGAATGGGAAGGTTGGGGTGGTTTGTGTGAGGGAGGGTTAGATTGGGGAAGGTTTGTGTATGTGGGGGGGGATTGGGGGAAGGGTTGTGTGTGACACAGGGAGGCAACATACACCACACAGATACGGGGGCAACACACACCATAACACAGACATGGTGGTTGAGGACAACACTGGCGGTTGAGGTTTTAAAGCACTTAGTAGTCAATATTTCTCTCTGCTCGTTTGTCTCTCGTTTGTTTGCTCGTTTTTACACTATCGTTTCTTTATCACCATTACTTCGCCTCATATCTCCCTAGCAAAATACCGCCATAATGCCATTTACTGACATCTGACATAAAACAGCGAGGCATTAATCTTTTAAAGTGTTAAAAAAGAATGAACATTTTCTGAGCGCCCAGCGTTTTCTCTCTGGCATGTTTATCAAATCGAAATAAACCACGTACATAATCTACATAGTCAATAACGAAGAGTAGGAATATGGTACGCCGTAATGCATTGAGGTGATTCCTGGCAATGATTTACATGTATGAAAAAAGCAATTCTTTATAATCTGAGAGCATCCTTTCATCAACTGACGCTTGTAAAATAGGGCGTTTGAGGCGCCTGTCCGTCTCTCTCTCTCTCTCTCTCTCTCATAACACGGTAAGTTCAGATGGTGAGGGCCAGATTCAAATTTCTGTTAAAAGTACTCTGTCAATCTCAAGGTTCGTCTTCAAAACCAATATTAAATCTTTCTCTAGATTTCTCAAATTTCACGAGCACACAAAGACTTTCAACCATCTCCATACCTTATACGTTATTTACTACAAAAGTGCACCTTACCCTTTTCTCTTTATTATATATGTAGTTCCTTCGTCTTAATGTTCTTTTATTATACACGTAGTAGGAACGTTGAGACACTGTACTTCCGTCAAGATAATGTTTACGTTTTCGAATGTTTAGTAGAGGTGCCCCGGGGCGTTCATCACCTGTGAATCCGGATTTTGATTTACTTTTTACTTTTATCCTCCTCACCGCTGATCGGCTCGTTAGCCGCTTGTGCGATTGGTCACGTCTGTGTTCTTCACTGCTGGCAAGTACTGGGCATGCACTGGCTCCTGAATATATCTGAACCCGGGCACAGATCACTGACCCATATCAAGGCCTGAGGTGTGAGAATAATAATAATAATAATAATAATAATAATAATAATAATGATGATGATGATGATGATAATAACAATAATAACAAAAACAACAACAACAACATCAACAACAACAATAGCAATAACAATAATAAGAACAATAACAATAACAATAATAATAATAATAATAATAATAATAATAATAATAATAAATAAAAAATTAAATAAATAAATAAATAAATGAAGAGTGAGAAACGATATACAGTAGTAAAAATCCGGATGCCAGAAATCCAGACCACCCGAGAATCCGGACTTTTCGAAAACTCAAACTTTTTTTTTTTTAGCGGGCTTGTGTGTATGTGTGCATGCGTGAGCGCCACAGCGCCACAGCAACAACAAGCCACCACGCGGTCGCCACTTTAAAACGAGCAATCTAACTGTGACAACATGTGTAATTTTGAGTCCTACTCTTTCCATGTACAGAGTACAAGCCCATAATAATGGCTCCTAAAGTAGATAAACTTCGTTGTGTGAAGAGAAAGAAGAACACGTTGAAATTGAGTGACAAACTTGAAATAATTAAGAAACTAGAACGTGGTGTGAGCAATACTGTTCTAATGGAAACATACCACATTGGAAAGTCAACAATTTATGATATAAAAAAGACAAAGAATAAAATTCTAGAATTCAAAGCTTTTTCTTTAAAACTGCTCATTTTGAAGCATGCTATATTTGCTAATGAATAAATTATCAACATGTACCTGTTCATCTCTTCTTTATCCTTCCTTAAATCTGAATTTTAAAAGTACTGCCTGAGAATCCGGAAAATCCGAAAATCCGGACCGACCCAATCCCCAAGCAGTCCGGATTTTTGGACTTATACGTATGTATATTGTGTTGTCAATAGTAAGAGAAACAACTGAGACCCTGCAGTTATGAGTAAATGAGGCAGAAAGTCAGTTCAGCAACCTGGTACTAATATTGCTATGCCATATGGCAGCAGAGTCTACCATTAGACAACACATTATGCTTCCAATATCTTTCCAGCCAGTAGTACCTCCCTGTTTGATAGCTGCCGACTACAGGTACCCTGTAGTATATGGCAAACTGTCAGCTTATTTCCACTAGGCTCCTTTGTTGGTTTTTTTTTCCATGGATGTATTCAGTAAAATCAAAAGCGAAGTTAACATTGGTCAATTGACAGTCTCTAGCATACCTCAGGGACCAGACAGGGAAATTACCTCACTCTTGTAGATCATGATGAGCAACAGGCCAACCAGATATCAAAAGACCTAATAGTTTCATTGCCTGATTCACCTTCTTTTCACAATGACCCAAGAATTTAAGCTCATTTTCAACATACACACCCAGGTCCTTTTCACATTCGGTCTCAATTAATGCAGTTTCTTCATCTCATTGGGACAGCGACACGCCTCCTTACTGTTGGTGTGACCCAGGTGCATCCTTTTGTACTTTGTGACATTGAATCTTAGCAGCCATTTCTTCGACCATTCTTGAAGCTCATAGATATCTTTCTGTAGCTCTTCACAGCCTACTTGGTTCTTAATTTCCCTAAATAACTTGGCATCACATGCAAACATTTGTATAGAGGAGTGTCTAGATTCTGACATGTCATTAATGAAGCAGACAAGCAACAATGGGCCAAATAGATTTCCCTGTGGTACTCAGCTTGTCACAGGTACACATGATGATTTCGTACCATTTATCACCACACACTGTTTGTGGTCATGTAGAAAGTCTCCGATCAACGCTAGGACACTTTCCCGAACCCCGTACCCTTCCAATTTAATTCTCAGCAAGAGAGACGGGGGAGGGTTTTAGTTTTGTGTGGGGCTAGTGTTAGAGGGAGAAGGTTCTTAGTAATGTGTGGGGCGAGAGTAAAAGGGAGGAGGGGCAGAACACTGGGCACTCTCCTCCAAACATGTTGCCCGGTTTGCCGGTTGTTGACCCGATGGCCCAGCAAGCAGCAGGATTTCTGCCGTTGTGAGAAATGAACAACGATTTGACAGGGATCTTTGCAGGCCTGATAAGTGCTTGAATGAGCTATACTGTATATAATTTCAAGTAAAAATTTAAATAAATCATGAAACAATAATAATTTAAAATATAACACTTAAACAGTGACATATTTCCATTTATTTGTCACTTTAAAACTTCTTTTGTATCATTAAATCATTATTCAGGGTCTTCTTTGACCAGCTAGCCGCCGCCACTTTTAAACAAACTTCACGACGCACCCATTGTCTTTTCTTTAGCTTTTGCAGATGCCTCACTTCCTTCAGCAAGTGAAGAACTATAGCACAATCCTGCAAGGCCTCAACTGTAGTAACGGGATCCATGGTGAACCTCGTTTAGATGCTTTGTTGCGTTGGACAAATGCGCCAACAAAACATCCCAGTGTGACAGAAAACGCCTCTTTGTTTTGCTGGTCAGACCCCGTTTGCCAAACATGCTTGGAGGAAAGTGCCCAGTGTGCCGCAACCTTTAGTGATCAGTAATAACAAAAACATAACTTATAAAACCTTTATTAAAAATCATACATAATGGCATCCACATATATCGGCTAAATGTTTACAGAAAGTAAAAATATAAAATGATTAGCTCCCTTTAGTGTCTAACGTTCCCATTTTGGGAACATAACTTTCAAATATTCTCCCGTGATTATTAACATAATATTCTAATTTATTTCATAGCAGATATATTGTTATACATCTAAATTACTATTCTGCATAAAAAGATTCCAATACTGTACTCTGTAATACCCATGTTACTTTTTGTGGTATGTTCTGAAGGAATTTGATGTAAAAATGACTACTCGAAATAAACATTTTCTCTCAATAAAAAAAATTCTCCTTGAGCTATTTATTTACATGGTGTGCTGTCTAAGTACTCCTCCTTATCTTATACATTTCAATAAATGTGATTTATATTATAATTATGTCGCTATAAGTGTTCCCATTTTGGGAACATACTCAAAATACAAAAATAAACCAGAAAGGGAAAAAAGAGATTTTTATTTTCATTCAGTGGATTCATACGAAATTCTTCCGAAAGTTGTGGCTCTATACCGAAACTTTATAAGGCTACGGTCACTAAAGGGTTAACAACATTCACCAATAGACCTGTCATGACAAGACAAATGAGAAATAAGAGAAAAAGCGCCACGTCAGAGAGGAAGCTATGGCCAAGAAATCATAACCTATTCCTTCTCCTTAGATCAGCTGGGAACCTCCTCTTCATTCTAAACTATCATCATCTTCAATCTGCACTTTGTGTGAAAGAAAAAAATTCACTGAAGTTCTATACTGTATAGGCTTACCCTTTCTTATAAGGCATTCTACTGACCATCAACTCACAATTCTTGGCAGAAAAAAAAATTATCCTGCAAACTTCCCAATTAATGGCACATTCAACTGTCATTTAGTTATGAAGAATCTTAAGACTTAATGGACTCAACTTTAAAGTCTATGCTTTCATAAAATAATGAAATTTGTTCCAAAATATGAGCTTGAATTCTGAACCTTTGTGAAAGTTTTGGGCAACCTTCAACTGCTTTATAAATGGTTCTGCAGTAATGGATTTTCTTTCATCATCATTATAATGCTGTTTTACTATATACTGTAAATATTTCCTTACCATTTGTATAATGTCAATTAATTTCTTAGGATCTTGGATGGTACTTAAGTCAACTAAATCCATTGGGAGACCATACTTCCTGTAGAGAAAATATTTTTTAAATTAATTACATTTAATAGGAACCCACACTACCTGAGCACAGACATATTTGCTTTCATTCACCCATAAACAAAATACAGTACCGTACTTGTGAAGAAATAAATCCAGCAAATATTTATCATCCTTATCAACTGGGAAAACAACTGACGAGATAAACACAAACTACCGACTCACTTATGTGGGCTAGGCTGAACTCCTGTAGCATCTGATATGAACCGAAATTCTGGTGAATTTTCGATGAGACTGGAGCAAATAAGTTTGTCCCTTTGTGGTGAATATGACTGTAGATTGCTGTCCGTTACGTTCCTCTCATTATGATACTGGATGTTGTCTTCAGGTTCCTCACTAGTTTCATCTCCAATAACCTGTCACCATAACACAAAGAGATAAACCACATTTTGTTACTGATTAATTATTTTGTTTTCTAATAAAGCTTAAAATTATCTTATTTAGACAAAACAATCATTTCTGGCAGTCTGCTCATTCAAAATTTCTGGTTGGCTATTTGGATACAGTATACAGGTTAAAAAAAATGTACTTCATGTAATATCCAATTTATGAAGCTTCAGTTTAAGAAATCCCTAAGTTACAATAAAAAAAAGTCCCATAAATTGATTTTCTAAAAAAAAAAAAACAGAAGTTACGAATTTTTTTTCCTATTTTCATAAATTTTCCTAAGTACCGTAATAATGAAAATACTGTAAGCTAAAATAAAGTAGCTTTTTCTTTTTACTGCATCAAGTTTTATTTGTATGTCTGCTATACATCACATCAACACTCTCTGTAACACACTCACACACAGAGTTTGCTGAGTTTCAGTCATTGCTTACATGCCAGCTCCATACAGTTTCTATGAATTTATGAAGACTAACCTCAGCCAACTTGGGATTATCAATTTCAAACCGCACGAAGACAGAGAGCAATCTAATTTTAAAGCTACAAGGGCATTACAGTACAGTATTTTTATCTTACCCTGCTAAGGCACTCTCTAAAGTCTTCCAACCCTTTCAGTTCAGGCCAAGAAAACAGAAGACCATCAGTTGTTTCACCAAATGGGTTGAAGTCAAGCAGGATCACATGGTCCTTAACTGGACGGTACACATCAACCACATCTGTGAAAAAATAATATGTTTATGTTAAACATATTCTTATTTTCTTTTCTAAATACATGCAGTTAATATCACTAGAGGTGCACTGGACAGGCAACCCAGCTGGATAGTTGACATTATCACTATCTAGTACCTGGCCAGACAGTTAAAATTTAAAAGTTTGTTTATAAGTAATATCTCCATTAGTCGGAATCCCCTCTCAGTATTCAGAAGTTTAAGAATATTAATTATGGTGAGGCAAATAGCAGTAAATGATTAAATGTTTTATTCCACTATTAATTGTTTCAAACACTGTGGGGAAGGTTGATTTATCAGTCCTATGAACTTGAACACCAAGCATGGTATCCTGTTGTCCCCTGCACTCCAACTTATTTAATTTTTTGGTGAAAAAAGGTGCAGTTTATTTGTGTGCATAATAATATTTCTTGTGAATTAGAATGCTTCCTGTACAAAAATATAAATAAGGAGAGATGAGTGGCATGTAAGTGGAAGCGACTTAAGATATTACACAGGAGTTCAGGTGCAGGCTCCCATTTACATTAACCTATTTTTATAGAAATCAATAAAAACCATGTTATCCAGCTGGATAATCTGGTCTGGATTTAAAAAAATAAATAAATTCATGATCTGGTGAATCCCTAAATATAACATTATATCTACATCATTATTCCTTCCTTCACTATGAATTCAGGTTCTATACAACCACAAAAGTACGTAAACAACATGACAGAAATATGCCCACACACACACCCACATATATAAGTCTCAAAGCATAAAAGCGTAAATTTTACTGCTGTTTAAACTTACAGTCATGAAGAGGGAATCTGTCATCTATGTTTTCTCTCCAGAAGCTGATAATGTCATTGCGAATATTAACTTGATCACCACCAACACAAGAGTAACCCTGGCTTATATCACGCTGAGAAATACCTGCGGAATAATGTAGAAATTAAGATCTAAACTAATAAATACTGTATTTATCTATCAATCTATCATCTTTGTTTCCCTCCTATTTTTGTGCTGGGTGAATAAAAGGTTAGAAAACCTTAAAAGAATATGGTGCAGGATATGTGTATAAAGTGCTGAGAGAACAAGTAGAAATACCCCCACATATACTGTATACTATTGTACTTTAATATCCTTACCTTCCACATGTAGTAAACATAGTACAACTTCAGACAGCCCACTGATTCAACATTTTCTTCATCATTTTGTATCAAGTAATTTAGTCAAAGTCATAAATACCATCCCACTAAATTTTTTATAAGCATGATGTCTCTCTTTTGGGGGATACATACGCGCGTTCATTAAAAGAGGCGCATGTTCGATAGGCCCATGTGGTGCCGCCAGTTTGAGCCACCAGATGTCATCTTCTAGGATGACAACTAGGCCAGTGCTTGTGTAAAGTGTGCTATGTTATGTATAGTGTACATAGTAGTGTTTCAGCAGTTAAGGTAGTTACCTTGTACGTACAGTAATGGTCACCACAAGATCACCAGGAAACAACTGCAGATTCAACCCCAGAATGGTAAACACAGTTTACCGGTACATTTAGTATTTGTATTTTTTCTTTATTTTCTGGCTTAGCTATTTAATATGTCTGATATAACGATCTTTCGGCTTAAACAAACCACCTTTCCCCCCAACTGATCCATTATATCGAGGGTTTACTGTACACGTTATTGCCTGTGTAACTCTGTGGGGATGTAGTTTATTTTCCTGCTTCTTCTAAAGCCAAACCACTTTATTTTAAGAGATTAATATATTCAGGCTCTCCCTACTAATGGTCTTAAGCCTCACTCACCACATCAAGTGTTTACCCACCGTACTCTCAGGCTCATCATATTGAAACTCAAGGACTCAATTTGGCCCATATTACATCATAATGATAGGATGTACAGTATCTCTCTTAACTTACAATGAGTTGAATACATATTAAGTTTTGATAAGTCAAGTGACAGTGGATCTATTCCTAACAATGCTAACACTTCTGTTTTTGTACTAACCAACTAGTTCTTTATTCCTCACAAAGCAGCGAAACTCATAAGCAGGGTTGATCTCCATCCATCTTCGTAATACCAAACAGTAATCAACACTGGGATCTGCTACATCTACATCATCACAATCCTGGAAGAGCATAAATTTTTGTCAGAGAACTGACAATAAATTCCCTGTGGAATAGCTCTAGGTAACAAGTCCATTGAATTGTTTAGAAAGCAAAACATTTGTAGCTGTACAGGTACTGTCATTATATGAAATCATTTAAAAGATGAAACTTGTTTTTAAAAATATCCCCAATAAAATTCCTTTAAGTGAAACTATTTCTTCTTTGAATCTGCCCTAACATACTGTATGTGTTCTACTATGGTGTTACAGAACACATCAGCAGTCCATACTTAATAATAAAGCAGTATATGAATGTGACTAAAGGACAAAAAATCCTACTTCAGACAATTCATAAAACATCAAACCTTGAAGGGTGTTGTGAGGTCATGTGTGACAAAGTTGCTACTTTTAAGGAGGAGATAAACATCTCCAGGGGTGTAACATCTTAAAGAACTGTTGAGGGCAATCCATGTGGCATCCTGCAATGGGTAATACAGTACCATATTATTACACACACAAAACAATCAAATATTTAATTCACACACAAATAATATACAGTAGTTTTAAACACTTTAAAGTCTTTAACTGCATCAACAGATCTATATCAATCCTGACTGATTCACTGACATGGAAGTTTGGATCATCCTCCACTGAAGCAACTTATCACAAATTCTGCATCACTTTTGTTACTTTGGCATCAATATTATACTGATTACTGTAGCTACTCCTAAAAAAAAGCTGGCTGGGCACATAAAAACACAAGAAATCAATGATGATGAAGTTTGTCCCTTTCATAATTTTAAGCTGGCAAAGGTTCATAACTCAGTAGAATATAGATGAAAAACACTGAATGTGAACCTACATACCACATTTCAATTCATACCACAAAACATTCCCTAAGTCACTAAATAAATAGACAAAGGTTATCCAACATAGCCCAAAAGAATGAGAGACAGACAGCAGATGCCTTAAATGAATAATTTGCTTCCATATGCACACAAAGAGACAATGGATAATATTCCAGTACCAAATAAATTTATACCTTAGGGATGTAAAAAGACTAATAGAAATATCAATTACAGATGACATTAAAAAAAGAAAAAAAGAAAAAAAAAGATAGCCTGTAAGAATTCAAAGTCCCTGAAGTGGACGGAGTACAGACTAAGGTGGCAAACAAGATATGCACTCCACTAGTTTCCGGGTATCAGTAGGCCTATGATATACAATTTTCTCTGTTTTTTCTGCTAATCTACTTATTTGTGTGTCACAGTACAGTAAACTTGTACCATAGCACTAACACGTTGTCATAATGAGGTCCAGTAAGCCTGGGCTAGATTTATGCTGATGTACGTTGTATTGGTATTGCATTCTTTAACCTCGGCTCCGATGGCTAGGAATTTTCGCTAATCTGGAACACATTTGGTTCCAAGCTTCCTGGATTAGCGAGATCCAACCTGCACCAGTACAACACAAGTTATATCAACACACCTTTGGGGAACTCCAATTAAGTTTAGGAAAGGCACTTCCTCCAAGCTTCTTGATGGCATCTCTGATCTTTGTGCTGTACTCCTCCAACTTAGGACCCTGAAAATAAAGTTAGCAAGGATAGAAAAAATTGCCACAAAAGTATTTTGATAATTTACCCAGCATTAAATTCATGTGCTACAGTCAACAACAAAAATTTCTGCACCTTTATTGTGTTATACATTATGACACACCGAACCAAGAATTCTGAACAACACTCATTTACGCAGGTGACGCCAGTTGATTTCTCTTTACTGTATTAACTATAAGTGACGCAATGCATCACACAACACGAAATACCAACCTTACCAAATTAACATGGCCTCAGTCAGTGATCGTTGCAGAGGCCATCAGACCAAGGGGTGCAGAACATTTTTTTGCTGACTGTAAAGTATGCTTAGTTTAAAAGTGACTTTCTATGTAGTCTAAGTAACATGTATCTTCCCAACTTTGGCTGATGAATATTAAAACCTGGTGGATTATACTGAAAATGATTACATCTGCTCACTTGGTAAGCTTGGCTTGATACAAGCTTCGAGTTCTTCAATGAATGATGGTTCAAACTAGTGGACTTATTATACTAATGAATTATCATTGGAGAAAGTAAGTAATTATGTGAATTGATGATGTAAATGGCTACCCCTTTCCAAAGCTTCAAAGGCCTGCCAACTGTTTATCAGATATGCAGAGGCATGGTTGGATAGCTCAACCTTTCTGTGATGTATTTGCCAAAACTTGGGGAAATAGTTGTTTCTTAGATTATATAAGAGTTATAAGTTGCTCACAACACACTCTATATACCTCCACTTATCATATACTACTGGTGTCAAACTTGCAGTACCTAAGAGATCAACAAACAATTCTCAACAGTAAGACTTATCAAACAAAAGTTGTCACTCACTTGCACAACACAGCCTGATGTCTCACACAGATCCCAGTCTTCAGTGTCTTCTTCCTCTTGTGTGTTCCTCTTATAGGTTGGCTCTGGCTGTGAACCTTCTGGGAGCACCAGTCCCATTATCTTGCATATAGGCCAGGACCTCTGGTGTTAAAGGCAGTAAAATGCTGAAAAAATGAATGCATCATGATTTTTTTATCCTTCTACATTTCATAATTACAAACTACTGAACTTATGTACAGGTTCTCTATAAAACATTGGCAATGTGTATTGAGGGAATGTAAAGCAAAAGATTGGATGGCACATGATAGAAGGACTGACCAAGAAGGTAGTGGAGGGACTGAGTGACAGGGGAGGAGGATGAGCTTGATCACTTGACCACTTGCATCTTATTACCTACCATACTTTTTACATCCATACTGATGCTTTTCCTTGACTGTTTGGTCATTTCCAATAATACCACTTATATACCATAAACCAGACATTTAGGGTAAAAAATAAGATAAAAACTGTGAGTACCAATGGAGTAGACACACAGGCATTCAAAAGTGGCAGAGCCAACTGGCTGAAGAGTAATCAGTATACCTTACTCTAACTGTCCAAAAACACCTCTTGAAAAAATGGGGGGAGCATTTAATATTTACTGATAGTGGTATCGCATTGAAATTTTGAACAGGTCTTTTAAATAAAAAAAAAAATTCTGGTACAAAATTCCAAAAACTGCCATAGGAATACAGGTTGGGCCCAGCTAATCCGGGACCCAATAGTCCGGTAGCTTTGATGGTTTGGGACGGTGTCATAGCTCACTTCTAGTGACTGTTGCCACTATTTTACCTTTAAACACTTATAATTTACCCCTATATATGCCTCCTAAGAGACCAGCAAGCAGTGAAAGAGGTTGTAATGCTGCAAAACATAAGTATGTGACAATAACTATTTTAGAAAACATGTTTATACTGAAGAAATTAGACAGTAATAGTACATTTTATGTATTATTTTGCCTTTTTTAACCTCGGCTTCGATGGTTCGGAATTTTCGCTAATTCAGAACTGGTCTGGATCCAAACTTCCCGGATTAGTGAAGTCCAACCTGTATATATTTTTCCATAACATCATTGACATCTGAAATATAGAGCGGGACACACCAAACAGAAACTGCTATTCTGCCGTGAGTAAAGCCTGAGAACAACACTATCGTACCACCAGTTTTTGTTTGATTTTGTTCATTTTTTCCAAAGATGTTCTCATCATCATAGTAAGTATTTTAAAAGAGGTGACAACTTTTTGTTTTAATTATAAGTATTTATTTATATTTTTTAGTTTTTGTCTATCTATGATCATACTGTAAATCACCTGTAGTGGGCAGAGCTTGAAAACTGGTGGAATTTCGGTGGTAAAACACAATGAAAAACTAATCATATGACTTTATAATGATGCCTCTACATGCTTTTTACATGAAAGAAATTAATTATTTACCATAAATACTCCTCCAAAAAATCTGCCATTGTCGGCACGTGTTGTCAACTGCTGTTTGTTTACAACTGACCCACTTGGCTCCAGCGTGCTCTCACGTCCACAAAAAACGTAAAATTACACCATGAGGCTTCAACAAAGTTGCTTTCATTGGTACCAAATACTGTATGAAAATAAGTACTTTGTGTTTAATATGACATAGGGGCCTGGAGGTCAGTTTCTATTAGGCTCTAGTAAATGTTAACTCTTAAAATAGTTACTATAATGATAAGAACGCGTGAAAAAAAAAGTAATTATTTGGATGAAGGGAATTTTTGCATTTACACACCACACATTTCTACCACTAATCTATTATCATGTTCGAATAAGATGTCTAATTTTAAGATAATTTTCATCTATTACATTGCCGGCGGAAATGTATAATAACGGAGAAAGCGTATCCAAAATTTTCTCTATTTTCTTCCATTAATCTTGCGCCATTATCGCCTGCCTCACCTCCCACACTGATGTCTTCTTCATAAATCATCACGAGCATGCGTTCCCGTACGCGTCACGTGGCCAATCAAAAGCGTTTTTGTTTTTGCAACCAATTAAAATGATTTAGGGTTTAATTCACGGTATTTTTGGCCCAATCAAATTCGAGTTTATTTTGGGTCTCATATTTTGGAATTCAAATTCATTTCCGACCATGGAAGTCTGTGATGGGTGTCACTTCAATTATATGGAGCTGATTGCGAGTTTTTGGGAAAAAACGAAGAAACTATAGCATTTTTCCGATTGCATACTGTTCTTCCAACCTCATTAAAGTGTACTAAGAGCAAGACTGAATGTAAATATCGCAAAGACCAACATACAGTATGTGGCGTTGTGTAAGAATCTCAGAATCCAAAGACAAACAAAAACCTGGCCAATAAGGTAAGAAATATGTGATTCCATCATATGGTGAGTCAGTTAGGTTAG